CAACCCGCCCACCGGCCTCTTCGCCTCCAAGCAGCAGGTCGACTACGCCCGGGTGAGACGGCTGCCTCGGCCTGTGGGCCCCCTGGTCCTTCCGGGGGAGATGAAGCATCTTTCGGGAGCGGGGACTCCCCGCTGCATCTGGCTGTGGGATGCCCCCTGCTGGGGAGGCGTTTCCTTCCTGACCCTGGCAGCGCTGGGCCCTGAAGCATGAGACCTGGTTCTGTGGTCGTAGCCTAGCACTGACCTCCCCGGGTGAGACGGCTGCCTCGGCCTGTGGGCCCCCTGGTCCTTCCGGGGGAGATGAAGCATCTTTCGGGAGCGGGGACTCCCCGCTGCATCTGGCTGTGGGATGCCCCCTGCTGGGGAGGCGTTTCCTTCCTGACCCTGGCAGCGCTGGGCCCTGAAGCATGAGACCTGGTTCTGTGGTCGTAGCCTAGCACTGACCTCCCCCTCGCCCAGTGTGTGCCATCTCCCTGGGTCCCGGTGCCAAAAGCCCTCTGCCCTGGACCAAACAGTCACCGCCCTGCCTCTTTCCCATTGCAGAGCCCGAACCTGAGCCCCCCGGCCGGCTACATCCCCATGAACCAGACTGGCCTCAGCAGCTGCCGCCAGGTACCCAGTGCAGCGTACAAGGCGTGAACCCTATGGAGGTCCTCTGCCGGAGGGTGTCGTGTGGCTGTGGGTTGGGAGGGAGGGGCACTGGTGGAATGGGGAGGGGCGCCCGGGCCTGGGCTAGCAGGGGGCTGCGGCTCAGCAGGGCAGCGGCTGGCTAAAGCCCCTCCCTTGGGCCTTGCCCATATTTGCTCCAGCAAGCAGGGGCCTTTCCTGACCCCGTCTCTCTCCCTCCGTCTCCCAGAGCGCTGGGCTGGGCTCCCGGCAGACCCTGAGGGCCCGGCAGGAGGCGGTGGGGCGGACGGTGTCAGAGTCGTCGGAGGGCCGGGGCACGGCCTCGGAGTGCGAGCTGCCAGAGGAGCTGTCCCTGGCGGGCAGCCTGTGCCGCAGCCTCCGCTCCCGGGGCGACAGCGCCTACCTCTCCCAGCGCGAGAGCTTCTCCCCGCACGCCGGCACCGCCGACGAAGAGGAGGACGCCAACGGCTACGTCATGCCGAATCGCCACAGCCGAGGTAACCGCCGCCCCGGGTCCGGTCTCCGCGCCTAGGCAGTGGCAGGACCCCATGCTGCCTCTGCCAGCTCACCCACCCTGCTCCATGGACCAGGGGGCGTCCTGGGCCTTCACTGCCATGAACAGACGCATGGGGGCAGTAGTTACTTGGCCACTCAGGCTGAGACCCAGCAAACTCGCTGCACCTGTAGCTTGGAATCTGCGAGCGGGAGGTGGAACTCTGGGTACCGGCCCCACTTCCTCATGGCCACCTGGTTCCTCCTGCCTCGCTGGGGACTCGTGAGGGCGGAGAGCCCGCTGTGACCTGCCTGCCCCGTTGTGCCTGTGAGGTGGGCAGGCCACAGCTGCACAGGCGCTAACGCTGCCACGATGCCTCGTGCCATCCCCACGGGGAGGCCGGGAGGCAGACCCGACCCCAGCTGCGTCTAACGCCGGCTTGTCGGCTTCCCCCACAGAGCGAGCGGCCAGCCTGGCCCGGGCAGCGCGAGCCGGGCCCCTGGAGGAGGAGTACGAATACATGAACAGACGCCCCTCGCAGCCCCGGCCGGTATCCCTAGAGGAGCTGGGCTATGAGTACATGGACCTGGGCTCGGAACGCAGCGCCTCGTTGGGCAGCATGCAGGGCTCCCCGCCAGCTGCAGCCGGCCAGGAGACATCCGGGGCCGAGGAGGATTACGAGTACATGAACAAACAGCCCAAGCTCAGCCAGTCCCTCAGCAGCGTGCTGAGTTCACCGGGGGCCGGGCAGGACGACTACACCTGCATGAGCACGGCTGGGCCCCAGGGCTGCCCCGAGGAGCAGGGCTATGAGGTGATGGAGGCCTTCCTGGGGCCAGCCCCGGGCTGCCTGGGTTCGCCCTGCCCCAAGAACGGCTTCATGAAACCGCTGCGGAGCCTGGAAGCCTCAGACTGTGCCTTCGACAACCCTGACTACTGGCACAGCCGGCTGTTCGCCAAGGCGGACGCCCAGCGGACCTAGGGGGCAGAGGGTGGTGCCGACCCGTCTGGCCCAGGGACAGGGCCGTGGGACTCTAGATGCCTGCTGAGGCTGTGGGGCCTGCCTGCCGTTTGCCGAACAAGCCCGTCTGGGCGGCTGGGAGCCAATTACCTTCCCCGGCCCGTTACAGGCAGCCGGCACCCTGGGGAGATGCAGACACTGCTCCCTTAATGGGGCCGCCGGGTGGGGGCGTGCCCCCTGGCTCTGCGCCATTGCATGCTGGGATGCAATGCGCTGCCCCACTGCGAAGCCAAAGCAACCCTCCCTCCTCTCGTGCTGCCTCAGGATCAGACATGGGCAGGGGCGGCAGGGGCTGTGTTCTCCCAGCCCCCCCATGGGGAAAGCCTCCTTTAATGAGCTCTCAGGGGGTGTTTGGGGCCCTGGGATCGAGCACTGAAGAAGGGGGCTGCCCCATTCCTCACTCCTTTCCCAGCCAACATGGGAGCAGGGGGCTGCATACACCTGGGTTTAAAGAACCCCAGAGCTGCTCCAGGCAGGGCCCGGGGGGGTGAAGTGAGCAGATGAGGGAGCTGCTGGTCTGGGGTTTAGTGGATCAAGCACTTCTCCCGGAGCCAGAACTCCTGGGTTTTCAGTCACGGACTCATTGCTCTGGGCCTCAGTTTCCCCCTGTGGGCCATGCAGAGGCTGGGAGTCAGTCCTAGAATGATGGAGGCAGCCCGTACCCATGAGCGGCTCCCATGCCAGCCCCCACGGCTGTCAGCTGCCCCGGCCTTGTAGCTCTCCACACACACACCAGCCCCAGCCAGGGGTTTCTCATGGCTGGTCCCGCTGCTGCCCCTCTCTTGGTGCCGCTGAGCTTGGAGGCCGCGGCAGGTCAGAAGGTGTTGGCGCATCAGGTTCTGTGCAAGTTTCACCAGATTTCCACTGGTGTAAGAAGCCAGTGGACTGGAATTTGATCTTGCATCCTCCTGAGTCACGCTGGATTCACACCAGTGTAAACAGGGTGGCCAGAGCCTCCCCTCCTCTCACGCCCCGGCACCGGAGCCTGATGAGAGCTGTGGGGTGCTAGTTGCCAACGGGGCACAGGGAGAACACCCCAAGCCTGCGGTGAAGAAATGAAGTTGATATTTTTGCACTGAACCTCGTGGTGTGTTTCACGTCACGTGCAACGCTGGAACAAGGGGGCCTGGTTCACGGGCTGTGTTCCTGCCCTGGGCTCCAGCAGGCTGGCCACGCTCACTGGGCAGCGGGTTTGGCTCATGCACTGGGAGGACTTTCCTCTGACAAAGGCTTTCTGTGCTAGACACAGGGGCCGGCGCTCTCTGTCGGGTGGTTGTGTCCAGTTTCTGTCCTGGTCTGGGTGTGCCCAAGGGCTCTGAATTGTTTCTCTCCTCTGCAGGAAGTAGAGTATGTTTCTCCTGCCCCCAAAGCAAGTGTGGGGGGGGCTCTGAATTATTTCCACATGAAGCCATGGATGGCACTGAACTTTACCTGAGCTTGGACCTCCTTGGATAAAGTGGTGGAAGTCGATGAAAGAAAAGATCAAGGAGGGATAGGATAGAAGTCTATACAATCATGACTGGTGGGGAAAAAGTGAATGAGGAAAAATTATTTACTTATTCCCACAACATAAGAACTAGGAGTCACCAAATGAAATTAATAGACAGCAGGTTTAAAACAAACAACAGGAAGTTTTTCTTCACTCAGCGAACAGTCAACCTGTGGAACTCCTTGCCAGAGGATGTTGTGAAGACTAGGACTTTAACAGGGTTCAAAAAAGAGCTAGATAGATTCATGGATGTTAGGCCCATCATTGGCTATTAGCCAGGATGGGTAGGAATGGTGTCCCTAGCCTCTGTTTGTCTGGAAATGGATGGCAAAAGAGAGATCATGTGAGGATCACCTGTTGTGTTCCCTCCCTCTGGGGCATCTGATATTGGCCACTGGCAGCAGACCAGATACTGGGCTAGATGGACCTTTGGTCTGACCTAGTATGGCTGTTCTTATGTTCTTAATCTTTGGGAGGGGAGCATTACCTATGAGTTAGAGCGGAGCTCACAAGAGTCAGGATTCCTGGTTCTGCTCCTAGCGCCAGAAAAAAGGGGGCATCTAGCCATTAGACCAGGCTGTCGCCCTCTGCTCTGAGTTGTGCAAATGGGCAGGTGCATTTCCTCACTGCTTCCACCCTGGCTCAGCCACACGATGGGCGGGAGGAATGGGTGATATTAGCAATGTCTGACTAAGGCGGAGACCTGCAAGGACCTGCAGAAGGGAGTGTGGAGTAGGTTTTCCCGGGCTCCACCCTGGCACATCCCTTCCCTGCTGCAGCCGGAGGAGCTAACCCATTGTCCTGAGAGATCGGGGCGCAGCATGGCCGCTTCGGGGGCATCCAGTGAGCCCATCTCCCCTCTGCTAGAGCCGTGGGGAAGCACAGTCTCCTGATCTCCCCTTACAAGCAGGGGGCGAAGTGCGTGAGTCTCAGTCCTAATCCACAACCCTGCAGGTCTGGGCTAAGGAAGCGGTGCTGGCCGGGGCCAAGCCCAGGACCAAACACGTGCTCTAAAAGCTGCCACTTCTGCCCTCTGCTGGCAAGTGACACTAACGCTGCAGAAAAACCTATTCACTCCGGCCATGGGGTAGAGTGCAGGGCTGGGAAGGGAGGACTGAAAAGTAGAAGCAAGCCCAAGCTGGAGGCTTCCCCACCTGTTCTGTGCTTGTTTGTTTCAAAGGCAGGAGCCCCGACCTCTGGGTTCTAAAATGGGAACAGTCAATAGCGTGACAGGGTGAGAGGTTTGCTGTGTTTTCTTCCCAGCTTCTCCAAAGGAGAAAGAACTAAAGAACAAACCAAAAGCCACCCAGCAGACCGGAGCATGGGGCAGTAGCTCCAGGCCTGCATCTTCCTACTAAATTCAAAGGGGCAGATGCCAGTTTTGCTTCCAGACAGACTCATTCTAGTGAAGTCACTGGGTCCAATTTCTCTTCGAGGTGTTTACACCTGTGCAAAGGGCATGCAAACTTGGCAGCTTGAAATGGGTGCAAGGGAAAATCAGGTTCAAAATGAGCCAATCCAATATGCTATTTAGTCCTTTTAAAGACACGTGCAATGCCTCCAGTAGACTTGTCTGGACTGTCCAGAAAAGCCCCCTCCTTGTATGTTTTCAAAGTGTAAAGGTTAATGTTGTTGGAAAGCAGGGAGTATTTATTTTTGTATTCCTGTCCTTGTTTGCTGTGTGTCAGAACTGGTGAAATGAAGGTGAAAAGAAATCTCTGAGCTTTACACTTTTACCTGTGGGACTCTCCGTTGCAGGATGAAATAGCTTTAGTGTTTCAGTTTTAAAGAGAATCAGACACTCACAGGAATAACAGCCTGCGAAGTGACTCAAATTGAGACAAAGTCCCAAGGTTTGCAGGGAATATGCCGATCAGAAGGAAATATACCTCTATTGCATATTTAAGCTCTGGTCTTGGAAGGTGACGCATATAGTTTGATTCATTTGTAGCAACTGGGGCTGCATTTATTAACAAAGAGGGCCGTGCCAACAAACTTGCTCTGATATGAGCAAGGGATACCAAATACAGACAAACCTCCAGGTAACTATCTACCACGACCCTAGTGAATACAGCATTGGTGAAATAAAGAATCTGTAAGTTGTGTGCTATCTTCTGCAATGATGCAAACAAATGTTCTAAGGTCAAGAAGGGCTCTGTAGGCAGCAGTACTGATCTCAAGGGCTCAAAAATCATTATTCAGCTGTCAAATTCTGTTGTGTTTTTTTAAAATGAGTTTGGTTGTGGTATTTTTTTATTTGCTTTCTGGTTTCTGAGCCTTTAGGTCACACACGAGCTCATACTCTGAAGCTTTTCTGTGCAGCCACAAAGACTAGAACCATACTTTACTGAAAACACAAAAAACTCACACTGAAATTGTGAGTGTCGGCAGAAGAAGGGCTTCTCCAAGTGCATCTCACAGCCAGATTGGTGCCACAGGTGGGTGGGAATTGGTGCTTTCCTCTCACATGTTGGATTCTCAGGCCTGGGACACTGGGTTTGGCTGGGCCCATAATAAACCTCTGTGTGGAAAGCCCTTGTTCATGCCATCTTTCAGTTGTCTATGCTTCCCGTTATTGGAGTTTTAATTTTTAAAAAAAAACAAAATAAAAATGAAGCTGATGAACACGTGCCTGGATACATCTGTGCTGGCCTGGCTCTGGGAGGGGAGATGGGCTGGCATGAGGGATGGGTGGGGCCAGGATGGGTAGCTTGGGAGAGATAGCTCCAGGACTAAGTTTCCCCACTAAGCTGAGCAACTTGCCATTAAGTGGGACAGGAACCAAGGACTGCAGTGGGAAGCAATACTTCTCACCAAGCCTCGAAACTGCCACGACCAGTAGAGGGGAGCCCCTCCTCACCGGCCCCAGCATGGAGCTGCTATGGCCAAGGGAAAGGGGCCTATCCTTGCTGCCCTGGTAAGCTCAAGCCCCAACTCCCTACCCCACTTTGAGCCCCTCGCTCTGAGCATCCTACTGCACACCAAGGACTTCATCCCTGGCCTCACCCCCAAAGCTCACATCCCCGGCCCTGAGCCTGTACCCCCTCCTACAGCCCAACCCTGCCCCTGAGCCCCTCCCCAAACCTGGTGCCTCCATTATTCCCCAGAGCCCTCACACTCTGCACCCCAGCCCTCTGCCTCAGCTCTGAGCCCCACACCCGGCTACGTGAATTTAGTGATGTGCACCAGGATGTCGGTGATGTGTCGCACACCACTGCCACACCTGTGCACATCACAAAATTCATTCCGCCTTGGGGTGGGAACACTTATGCCAAGGGGCACTCGGAGGAGGGAGTTTCTTTCCCCTTCCTTGCCTGCCTTTGCTGCAGCTCCAGGCCTTGGTTGGGGGTAACCTGGGTGAGACCCCTCCCCACAGCAAGCACCCTGGGTTCCCCCAGCTCCTTAGGGGGTGCCCCTAGGGTACTCCCCTCCCACGTGGGTACCCCCCACTATAGTCCTCTCCCCCTTGGGGGGGTGTCCCTTGTATCCCTCCCCACCGAGCCCCCCCACTGCCTAGGGCTCCTCAGCTCCCTGTGACTTGTAGTTCAGACCCCCTTGGAAGTTGAGTAAGTCCACCCCCCCAGCCTACAATTCCCAGTGTGCACTGCGCCCCGCCCCTCCCGCCCGCCATCGCGGGAAGCGCCCCTCGGCCCCAGCTCTCGCGAGAGCTCCCGGGCGCGCCGTATGCCGGGAGCTGTGGTCCTCCATGCGGCGGGGCGGCCTCCGCGCGGCGCCT